TGCTATATGGTAAAACGGATGGCAAGAGAAGTGGAGAGCGCCCTTCGGATTAAATGGCTGGAGGATGTGGAAGATGATTTGGGATGGCTCGGTATTTGAAGGCCCAGACCCACCCAGGGTTGTAGCGCTACGCAGATGACATAAATAGGATGTTTGAAGATAGAGGGATATAGTTCAAGATCGTGAGATTTCCTGGCTATAGTGGAGGAACGGTTTCTTCTATGGACGTAGCGCCATCATAATGAATAAAATAGTTAACTTGTATACACAGCACCGTGCATTTGCACGGCAACTCGATAACCGAAGTTATGGAGGAAAAAATAATTGCGTTCTGGCCCCCGGCATTAATCCTCCGCCCTCACTCGGGAAAACCCCGAATAGCCTAAAAGGCGATGAAGGGGAGGACTAAAAATAAAAATAATCTAACCTTTTTCTTGGACCCAATGATGACTTAATTGAAATTTTCAAACTTAACTTTGTGGGAAAAAATTTTACTATATCAGCTTTTCAGTTAACAGAATGACTTACTCCAATTTAAACATTTTTTACTATTAATTTCATACCTCCAGTTTCATAGAAGGTTTGTCCCTTATATCTTCTATTACATTTTCTTTTGCTGTATCTCAGATATATTTAAAGGCCTTTCCGAGCAAATATCTGTTTTGTTTCTTTATCTTTATTTTTGACTGAACTCTAATTCAATCCATGGTTTCATATCAGCTGAAGAAGAAATCATTCTTCAAGGCTTGATATGTGTTACTGAAGAGTTTGTAATAGGAATGGAGAGAATGTAACAGATGGGTCATAATTAACTGATAGAACAAATGTATCTTCACTGTTGCCCAAAATCGGTCTTGGTCTTGGTCTTGCACTTTTGCAAGACCAAGACCAAGACCACAAAAATTGTTGCAAGACCAAGACCAAGACCACAAAAATTGTTGCAAGACCAAAACCAAGACCAGACCCTGCATGAGTCTTACAGTAAGTCGAACTGAGACTATTTCAGATATAGTACTGTGCTTAAACATTTTAACCATTTAATCTATACAGCGTTGTTTTTTCTTGTTGAGTTGTATATTTGAATATAGCTTTCCAAATAATAATTAATATTTTTTTTGTTCTCCCCTACCTCACCATTTTGGGCATACGTGGGATTTCGCAGGCCAGGAGGTGAGGGCGGGAAATTAATGCCAGAGTTAAAAGAGCCCCTCGGGCAGCGGAACGTGAACTCATAATTACTTTATTGTCGCCAACTACGGTTATCAGGTTGCCAGGCAACGCGAAACTTCTCTTCACAAGAAGCGGACACTCACAGGGAATCGAAAATAAAGAGATGTCCGTTTTAGAAAAATTGGAAGAAAACAGATTAAGAAAATTACATTTAAACAGTTATTAAAAACATTTTTCTTTTCAAATTTACTAATTAAAAATATTTTTATGAGAAACTTAGTAATATAGTTTGCATAATAAAATGCACATAAGAAAGGGAAACTTGTTTGTATATAGAAAAAAGAAGAATAGTAAGTTGTAATTTTTGTTTGGTCTAGCATAACTATTTTGTTTTCCAAATTGTTATGGATAGATAAAATCGTTACAATTATTCATAATCTCTGAGTATCTAAAATAATATTTTCGTTCATGAATTCATGAAAAAAGTTACAAAGAAAAGGAAATTGTTTAGGGGGGCTAATTCACCACGTATACATCCTATCGGTTTTCAACGGATCCAAACATTTGTGTTTTGAAGCCTATTTTTTAAAAGGCAAAAATCGTCTGAATCGGAACAGTTTTAGCAATCTACAGTATATTGTTTGTTTTTTTTATTAGCTGATTTTAAGATCGAAGTGGCACAGGACTAGATACCCATCAGATAAGACATATTACAACAAATTAACTAACCAACTAAAAGCTGAAATTAGAAAATACAAGGTTCAAAATTTACTTAACATGACAAAAAAACTTACTACTTCTGACAAACCACTATGGTTGACCACTAAAAGGCTTCTTAAATTCAAAGATTTTAACCACCTACTTATTACTGAAACCCAAACCTGGTCCAGATCTGACGAAGAAAAATCTCAAATATTTGCTCAGCACCTCTCAAAAACATTTAATCCACACCCAGATATCCTTAATCCAAACCACCTTGAGTTTATTGAAGCAGAATTGGATATCTCACTCCAATTGACTCCTCCACCTAAAGCATTTCATCCTTCAGAAATATCCAAGATCATTCATAGATTACCTTCCCACAAAGCTCCTGGCCATGACCTAATCACATCTCAGATCCTAAAATTTCTTCCTAAAAAAGCCATACTGTTCCTAACCTATATATATAATGCTGTACTCCGAACCACATATTTTCCTGACTCTTGGAAACTATCCATTGTCAAACTTATACCTAAACCCATAAAGCCGCCAGAACACCCATCTTCTTACCGTCCTATCTCTCTTTCACCCATTATGGGCAAAATACTAGAAAAACTCATCTTAAAACGCTTGTATCCCATCCTAGACTCTCAACACATTATTCCAGATCACCAATTTGGATTCCGCACATCCCACTCCACTATTCAGCAATGCCATCGTGTGGTAGATGTAGTCTCCTCTGCTTTGGAGCGCGGAATGTACTGCACGGGAGTCTTTCTCGACGTTGAATAGGCGTTTGATAGAGTCTGGCATCCGGGACTGATGTACAAACTCCGTAAATTCCTACCACCTAAATACTTCCTCATTATCCGTTCCTACTTTACTGACAGCTACTTCAAAGTCAATCATAACAATGCTCATTAATTTCTTTTTATTCAGTCTGCCGGTGTTCCTCAAGGTAGTATCCTAGGTCCTATCCTTTACACAGTTTATACAGCTGACATCCCAACCCAATCCAACGCTGTCATCACCACCTATGCCGATGACGCGTGTATGCTATCAGTTAATAACGATCCATCTATTGCATCCCAAACTTTTCAATCGCACATCACAAGTCTTGAAAAATGGTGTCAAAACTGGAGGATTAATATAAATTCCAATAAATCCCATCAAATTACCTTCATTCTTCGCCGTAAACCTATGACTTCCTGTCCTACAGTATCATTCAACAATAGCCCTCTTATCCTTGTCGAAAAAATCCGATACTTAGGACTCCACCTTGACAAACGACTCACTTGGAACCCCCATACCACACTGAAACGACTAAAAACCGCCAGACGTTTTCGACTGCAGCATTTACTAGACAAACGCTCTAAGCTTTCAATCAATTACAAACGACTCATATATATGACAATAATAAGACCTATTTGGACTTACGGAATTGAGCTTTGGGGCTCCACTAAACCATCGAATTCCTCTCGTATCCAATCCTTACAATCCAAAATCCTTCGTAAAATCCTCAACGCTCCTTACTTTGTCACAAATAAAATCATCCATAAAGACCTTAATGTTCCATATGTTTCCGATTTGGCCCAATCCAGATACTATCCTTCCATAACAAACTGCAGAACCATCCGAATCCTCTCGTTTCAAACCTTGCTTCCTCCTCGATCCTGATAACCCTCCGAGGCGTCTGAAAAGAAGATGGCCTCGGGACCTTCTAATATAGAACTTTAATTTGAGTTCTACCAATGGGTAGTTTCTCTTCATGTTATACATGTCATGTTACCAATGTCACATTTACTTATTGTATTTTCCATATAATACAGTTGTAAATTTAAATAAATAAATAAATAATAAGCTGTTTTTAATTGTGGTTCACTGGCCCCTTTACATTGCTTGGTTCATCCAGGAAATCGTACCCTAATGATTTTACTGATTGGTTTTTAGGAAAATGAATGCAATTCAATTGTTTGTTTTTTCTAATGGACACATTTAAAGCTATATTTATTTATTTTTTTTTAAATTGGTAGGAAAGTCATGTAAGTGGACACATTCGATTTTTCATTAAAATCATTGGAAACAACATATAAATTGTTTTTACTCTACAACTCTTCCATTTCATATAATCGGAGGAATAGAGCAGTGTTATCATTGTTATCATCTTTCTTAATTCTTAATTTTATTGATTAACTTGGACTACACCATGTTTACGTCAATTAAACATCTAAATATACTTATTTTTTAAAGCGTTTTTCTAAGATTTAAAGTAACATATTTAATATTCATTACTATATATTAGCTGATAGGTAAATAAGCGAGACTCTTGCGCACGACCAAGACCAGGACCAAGTCCGCCAGACCAAGACCAACGCCGCTTCGGTCTCATCTTGGTCTTGCATTTGGGCAACACTAATGACAGCATTAGAATGGGTCGGAATGTCAGCTGTATAAACTGTATAAAAGATAGAGCTTACGATACTATCTTGTGGGACACTGTAGGCTGGGATAAAAGCGATGAAAGCTTTATTGTGATTTACTTTGGAGGTAGGAGTTTACAGAGTTTGTAAAGCTGTCCCGGATGCCAGACTTGATTAAAAGGCAGTTCTACGTCGAGACAGATTGCCGTGCATTACATTCTACGATCTAATGCAGAGGAGATCACATCCCGCAAGACGATGACATTGCTTTTCAACGTTTGCTGAAAATAATCAAGAAAAAAATAAACAATTTCACTCACATACGTGACCGATAATATAAATCAAACAGACCTTATTGGAAAATTATCGTGCCAGGTTCAATTTAATCGCAGTGGTCATATCAGTTTTTTCATTTTCTTTATATATGGTTATTGTAGTACATTACATAAATATATAATTTGGTTGCTACAATAATATTTATAAATATTTTAATTAGTAAATAGTAAAATTTTTAGATTTATTTAATCTGTCGTAATAGCGAATCATATTTTTCAATTCTTAATCACAATAAGTTAGAAACGATAAGAGTCTTCAGGAATCGCTGAAGTGAAACAGAAGTAATGTTTCTATTCAGTCAAATGATAAGCAATGAAATGAAATGAGTTTTTTAGACCTCTATAAACTATTTATTGGATTCAAACAGCCGCCAGTATGTCTTCATTGAACAGTAACAACACAATGGGTTTGATGAGAGCTTCACTGGTATCCATCCTCAGTTTTGGTTTCATGTTGAGCTTGTTCTGTGAAGAAGTTTTGGGAGAAGAAGATTATGAAAATGATGATGATGATGAGCAAGAAAAACCAGAACTATTTGCACGAGTTGGTATGCCAATTAAACAATATATGGATGGTCTGATCAGAAATAATATAATGAGGAATATTGAAGTTCTTAAATAAATATGTAACTAAATAATCATAAAACTAAACACATTGATTTTATTTTCCATACAATATATATAACTGAACAGTAACTGGGTATTGTGACACGTGAAATTGTTAATTAAATATGTAATTATATAATTTTTTTAATATAACAGATAGATTTTATTTTCAGTTGTTGTTTGTTTTTTACATTCCTCATAAACACATTGACCTTTGTTAATCATTAAGTAATGTTCATCTGCGGTAAAAATATGATCGTTAGGAATCATAAACCTGCTTTATGTTTTTCATAAAAATATTGATTTTTTGTAGATCCATATTTTATTATCATTGATGATTATCAATCGTAGTTAGGAATATCACATAAAATGTATGATATATAGGTATAAGCTAATCATTAAGTAACTTGTAACTGTAAGTTCTGTGTGATGAATAGATTATATTTATACATAGGGTGTAGAGGAAAGTTTTTTAAGAGTGACCGCAGACCTCAGGAACTAAAAAAAGGTCATATAAACAATGGGTCAATTTTGAGAAGAAAAGTAGAAAATCCAAGTTTTGTGTTTTTTAGTCATGTTTTTTGTTGAATAGGAAGCGATAACTAAAGAAATGTTTAATTTAAGTAATTAACGATTCCTTTATTGCGAACAAAATAAAATTTACTTTAAATGAAAATAAAGTTTGTCATTTAAAGAGGACTTTTGAGCGGCTAAACTAAGCTGAATTTTGTTTTTAAAAAAAATCATAAATTATTCGAGAATTTTTTTTATCATCATCCAACTATACTATAGACACCCCAAATTTAAAATTTCTTCGTTTAATAAGTTTTAAGTCAGTATTAATTAAGTTGAGGTTTATTCGGGAAAATTTTGAGATTCATCTCAAGTTGTGTAAAAAAATTATGAGATTTTTTATCCTCTCACAGAACAGCACAACTTTTTTCAGAAAAAAGGACTCCATTAGCTGTTTAAAAGCTTTTATTTTTGTTTTTAAATGATCTAGGATGTTTCATAATAAAGATAATTGACTTAATACACTTTTTATTTATAAAAAAATAAATTTGAAAAATACTGATTATTGAAATATTTTTCTGGTAAGGTGATTAGGAAACTGGTTTTCACCCATATCCGTATTATAGAAATTTATCCGTATTTATAAGAGACAAAATAATTTTTTCTAGAGTCTAGACCAAATATTAACGTTTTCGTGAAAATAATTGAAGTAATCAGCAGATTTCTTTATTTTAAACGTACATTTTAGGACTATCTAGTTTATAGTGAAGCAATCCTTAATTACTCAAATTAATGATTTCTTATCACTTTCTATTCAACAAAAACACGAATAAAATGACCGAGTCCTCTCAGTGAGCACCTTACTGGACATCACTTGGTTACAATGCCGCATATCATAAGAGAAGAAAAGAAAAAAGAAATTAATTAATAAAAAGTATATCAAACAGTAAATATCAACTGCTCTGATATACACTTGGACTGTATTCAGTGAATAATCAGAGAGATTCCGCTGAGAAATATGAAACAACTGAGAGACTAGTTGAGAACACAACCTTCGCATCAGCTGATCCACTGCCTAAATTAAAAAAAAAATCGACCAAAATATTTTGAGCGGCCTAACTATTGTTAATTGTATTTTTCATTAAATCCTGGATCATTCGGGATATTTTTGATTTTTGAGTAGAACGTGATTACATATACCTACTTCATTTTAAAAAAACTTTATTTTTTAAAAAGCTTTAATTGTATATCAATTTATTTGAGGTTTGTTTTAGAACAGTGTTGATGTTCTGTCACTTAATAATACCCTTATTTTCAGCATAATATAACAAACGATAAATTTTTGTAACGTTTTGATTCCTACTTTTTCTTTTGGCTTGTCCTCTTTTTTAGTTAATTTATTATGAAAATACACTTTTTATTCATTAAAAATTATGTTAAAATATACCGCTTTTTTAAAAATATATTATCGAAGGTGATAATGAGCTATTGTTTATAGAATAGATTTATAATACACATGTGAAAATCGCTCCATCCTTATGGTATTAAGTATCTAACTAAATGCGTTTAATCCTAATATTTACATTTACGTGAAAAACAAATCTAGCAATTGTAGGGTTTTATTTTTAATATTTTATATTTAGGTGTGTTTATTTACAATAATAATATATTAGTTATAATATAAACTAATTATAATAATAACCATATTAGTTATAACTAATAAATTAACTTAGTTATAATAATAACCATTTAATAATTAAAATGGTTTGCGGTTCATTTGGCATTAGGATTTTCATTTTCTCGATTATGGCTAATTCTGAAAGAAAATATTCAATTTCTTGTAGATCTTAACATATTTTTAAATGATTAACGAGTTTTGATGTATTTGAGTATGTATATTTGAGTATATCGAGTATGAGATGTATTTTAAGAATTAATTTACTTAAATAGATGTCAGATCAAAAGAAAAAGGAATCAAAACTTTATAATAATGTCTACGTTGTTGGGTTTGCTGAAAATGCAGGTACTCCTGGGTGGCAGAATATCAAATCACATAATTTTTAACACAAGTGTTGATGAATCTCTATTTTATTCTTAAACAAACCTCAATTAAATTGATTTGAAACTAAAACTTATTAAACAAGGAAGTTTTGATAAAAGTGAATTATTTGTAGCATACTTACTATTTGTAGAATGATAAAAAAAAACATCGCAAATAATCAATGATTTAATGAAAAATACGACTTAGCGTAGTTTGGACGCTCAAATGCCCACTTTAAATGGTTTTGAAGACATACTCTACATGTATTTGAAGGAAATTTTGTCTAGTGTACTATGAATCAATTTTTAATTACTAATTTGTGTGTTACCACTTCTCATGGAAGGGAAAACGTGACCACCTTAAGAAAAGACAAAATTGGACCTAACCCCTTTTTCGTTCGAAATTACAAGCCCATACATCAAATAAAATTTTTTGTTAGCAATGATTCATCTCCCAGAGTTTGGCCATTATGAACTCAGACACCCTATGTATGATTTAAAAAATAGTTATAAAGAAAGAGTTAAAAAGACTATTTAATTTAATTATATAATATAGAAAACATTTATATCTTCAAAAATATATAGTTTTATACACGGTAGACCAAAAAAAAAAAAAAAAAAAAACATGAACATTTGTACAGATTTTCTCTCTTTATATATGTAACCTCTAATAAAGATGATTCTGATTCCTTGGCTGCCACATCAGCATTTTATTAATAATAGACAAAATAGGGTAAAGTCACCAATTATTGACACTTTAAGGAAAATTTTCAAGTAACTTACCAATTACTTTTTTGTTAATTAGCCTATCCGTATGTTTTAAACTTTTTCTTACTATTTCAAGCCTGTTCTGCAGATTTCACTTATATATTGTCCAAAATACTGTAAAGTTTTAAATTCTGTATGCCCAAAATAGATGAAAAATTTTCCACCAATTATTGACAGGCCAAAGCCAATTATTGACAGGAAAAAGAATAAATTATTGACACTATATTCAACCATCAAACGAGTTTATTTTGAGCAAAATACATTTTATTTATATTATAGGTATAAAATTATCACACGTATGAACACTTAGCTGTACATATATATTACAAAATGGTATGAGAAAGAAAATAATATACTGCAGTAGGTAAGTATACTATGGTAGATCTCGATCCATATTTAATGAATAAGGAAATAGAACCCTTTCGTTTTTACTTTCACTTATTTATATATGTAATATATAGTAAGGGGAAGTATTGCGAAAATTTCCGACGGAAATACACATCTTCTGAGTCCAAATAACTGACATAAGTCCCACAAAGGGGTGTGTGTGTGTGAATGTTAGCATATGATATGTATTCTAAAGACCGCATGTGGGATATATTTAATTATTTCAAAGGAATAAATAAGTCTAAAAGATAACTGCTAACATCTGGGCGGTACCTGAAGGAGAGTAACGACCCACTATTGAGTGCAACCTTTTGTAAATGGCAATAAAATACTTAAAGACAGAGGTCGGGAAGAATACCAAAGGACCGATACCAGTCTTACGTGGGAATGTTTAAAGAGGATCGAAGGGAACAGAAACACCTTCGAGAAAGAGGAAACGGAGGAAGATATAACTGCTTGAAATGGCCTGGGGGCCTGGTCATATCTTATGCTAGGAAAATCCAGCCAATCCGAGAAAACTACGAAAAGAGAGGTGGATGACAGAAAGGTGGGGAAGAGAACACTTGAGGAAGAAGGCCTGAGAGAGCAACATGGACTGGAGAGTCCACAGAGGCAGCTGGGGGTCAATCTAGGAGAGTCCAGGGAGGCAGCCAGGAGAAGAGAGACAGCTAGAGAAAAATATCTGCTACACCCTTCACCATGAAAAAACAGCTAAGTAGAAACATTAATTTAAATATGCTTATGTAAACTTGTGTTGGCAATCATTAGTAGAATCAATATATCATTAGTAACCTCAATCAGACATATCCAAAATAGCAGTCTCCTCTAATATGATCCTCTTATAATTATTCTACATATATATTTAGTTTAAGCTTAAAAACATAGTAGTTATTAAATCATCTTGTTAAGTTTACAATCTCCCATGCATGCCACCAATTAGTTATAGAACAAATAGTAATTTTTTAAACACGATACCTTTTGAAAAGACATTCAATAAGAAGTATATTAATGAATCTAGGATACTTACAGTAGGGGGTCTGTGGTATCTAACCTTTAAATAAACAATTCATATATTTTTCAGTTGATCGGTTCCCTTCTGGAACCGATTTAAATATAAATATAAGTATTAATTACATTAAATAGAAATAAATGCGGAACCCCTGGAACCCCCTACTCGCCGTAGAAACGCGAAGCCAGGAACATAGCACAGTCTAGCTTAAAAACGTAAAATCGTTAGAAAATAAATATTTATATTTATATTTTATTTACGAATATTTTGTCTATCATTAATACGTAAAAAGAGTCCCA